GCACTGTTACAGCATTTGAGCACAGTTTATGCTGCTTTATCAGCTCTGCTCTTCCTATGGGTGCTATTACCATTGCAGCTGAGTGGGTACGGGGTCAGCAGACCTGCTTGCCTGTAATGCAATCATGCAAGCCATGTAAGCACAATTAACAATCTCTAAAGGTGTGTTGGTGGTGCTGCACCAGTGTGTAGTGAGTCATCCAGCAGCTAACTGAGGTGACTGTTTTTTTCTTTCTCCTGCCCATAGGGATGCTGTGAAGAAATGTGTGTCTGTCTGTCTGTCCTAAGAGGAAAGCCGGATGCTTCACAAAGTTCTAGGAAGCATAGCAGAACTATGTTAAGATCACTGTGTTTGTACTTTGCTACTTCTGTTCTAGATGAGTGCCTTTTGGCTGGTTGTTAGAGGTTAAGTGCAGTGAATGCAACTGCGTGTTTTTGGTGTCCGTGGGACAGAGCGCTCACGTGACTAAATGAAGGTCAGCCTGGAAGAAGAACTGGGCTGAGACCCAGACTTTGTTTTGATGATTCTCATATGAAATTATTTGTTTCTGCAAAATTAACAAAGTGACACATGAAGTCTGTAAAATGGAGCCCTTGATTCTGGTGGGACCATGGCAGTCTAGAGGATTCCTTTCCGAAGAAGAAAAAGAAATCTGTTGCTAGCTGATTCCTGACAACTCTTGTAGTAGCCTTACATCACTTAATCTTTGCACTATTTATATCAGATAATGGAATACTGGTGCTCTTTTTCTGCCTCTCTTGCAACATGTTGGGTCTATGATATTTTCAAAAGGCTTAATTCCAAATGAAAAGGCTGTTTTAGAGTACTTATGGAATGCTTGATTTTGTTTCCTTAAGTGAAAAAAAATCATTTTCAGTTTAGATTGACAGTGTTTTCTTAAAATACATAGAGGGGACATTTTCGTCTGCGAAGACTGGCTCCTGTAAGAAAAGCACTTGCAAAATTGGGTTAATCAAGTTCTTTAGATTCCAGGAATAATGAGTTCTTTGCTAATGACTCCAGCTGAATGCAATACATTCAAGCTAGGAAACCAATTTATCACTTGACATGATGTGGTTCTCTTCTCCCCAGCTTCAGTACAGGAGCTGTGTGAAGCTGAGGGCACGACAGGTAAGCTGAGACAGAACATGTGTGTTTCCTTTCCCAAAGGACAAAGTCCCTGTTGATAAGGTGGAGGCAGGCTGGTGTTTAAGCAAGTCCAGGACAGGAAAAAGACATTTTCTTCTGAACCTGTGAATAAGTTAAAACTCCAATGTGTCTTTTTTGTAAGTGAAATCAATTTCATTTTTCCTAAAACTCTCTTCTGCACTCGTGAATTTCTTCTGCTCTGAAGAGGAAGTACAGCATTCTGTTGCTTTTTTTGTGTGTTTGTGTGTTTGCTTTTTTAACCAAAGGAAGCATTCAACAGTCTTGCTGCCAGCTTCAAACAAACACTGAGTGGTCAGTATCCAGACTCCAAGGCCATTGCCCATTCTTGTAATCTTCTGAGCTATGTGTAATCACGTACTCCCAAACCATTTCAGTGTCTCTTGTTTAACATCTGAATGCAGGTTCCTGCTTCTACTATGTTGGATACTGTTAACTGTTCTTGCCTTTCCTATTAGCAAGTTGTCTTGCTGGAAATGATGGCTGTGAAGGTCATTATCCAGTGAACTTTAATATGATTTGAATCTTCTTTCCTGATCTGCATAGACTTTAGCCATCTAACTGCATTGCATTTGCATAGCAAGTCCTTGACTTGCACCACAAAGACTTTAGGCTAGCAAAAGCCTGGATCTATTCAGCAATGAAGTACAAGCCCACAGTGAAGTAGAATAATTCTGTGTGGTTTTCAGAAAGTTACTAGAAACAGAATTAACTCTACACATTAATTGTCCTTCTGATAATTTATAAAACAGTAACAACCCTCCATGAGTATCCCCTCTAAAACCAAAAAAATATCTTTTGAGGATATGAAAGGGGAACTTCAACAAGCTTTCTCTGTTTTCCAGCTGGAAAGAGGTACTCTTACAAAGCCATTTGAACAGAAAAGGCCTTCTTGAAAATGTGCTATGTTGGGATGAATCAGTTCTGTGGGATGACTTCCCCAAGTGCTATTTCCTGCTGCTTTTCTTCCTTTCTTCCTTTCCATAGGATTTTGAAGTTAGTGTTGAAATGACTACATTGACTATTAGTATTATTTTTTTTTAATAAGGAATTAGTTAAAGGCTCAAGAGAGACTGAATTAAAGAACACCTATTCATTTTCTCTCTGACTCTGGATATCTAAATGGATGTAAGACTTTTTTTTTAATGAGGGAGTATGTTCAAAACCTAATGTACATCTGTCAAAGGGCCCCATGTTAGCCTTCTGTTAGGGCTTGGAGAATATATACAGAATTCCTTTGTGTAAGACTAGTTGAAATACAACTCCAATGCCTTTCACATCCCAGTGTTTGCTTAGTTTTAATATCTCTGGGTGTTCCCAGAGATCTCTACAAGTATAGTCTATGGTATTTTTCCTTCCCCCCTCTGGGAAAGTTCCGTTAATTTGTATAATCATTCCAGGCCTATCAGCAGTCAACATAATGGAGTTTTACCTCTGTTTTGTTTGTTGTTTTTTTTTTTAATAGTTCAGATTAGGAAGAGAAAAAGGCTTTTGCTTACTTCTTGACTAGCTTTTGCTGGGCTGTAGTACCATGACTCTCTAGCATTTTCCTTGTAAAAACACTAGATTTGCTGCATACTGCTTTCTCAATTTGTATACTATAGCTAAGTGGGACCTTTTAGTGTTGTGAGCACAGTCACTTGGAAGTAGGAAATTTAGACTCTGGAACTGCTTCTTTCACTACCAAGAAATGGTAAACTTGAATGGATTCACACACACTTTTTTAAAGCTGTAATTCCAGTTCCACAGCCACGTTTGATACAATAATAAAGGAGAACAAAGGTTTATTTGACTGTGTAGCACACGAAGCTTTAGCAATAGTGCCCATAAGGGAAGGGAATTCAAAAGGAGATGGCAGAGACATGGGTGATCGCCATAGTGCCACTAGGATTCACGTTCCTTCTGGTGTTGTATTCTGTTCTTGTGAAGGTCAGATGGAACAGAGATTCATTTCCTTGCCAATATGTGAAAGCTACTCAGGGTTTGTCACTTCATCTACAAGCAGTTTTGATTTAAAGGTAATTCCTTTCTGTCAGAGCAAAACACTGTGGATTCTTACTCACATATTTGGTTATAGTTGCACACAGGTTATTGCCAGGGTTAGCAGTAGAAGATTCTTCTATATTGTTCAGATAATTTCTGTGATCGAGAGGTAAACTAATATGAATGTGCCCTCTTGACTGGTTTCAATCTGAATTAGGTTATACCATTTTTGTGATTAAGACTTCTATATGTTTGGAGTTGATTTCATCAGCTTGGGTTATCTGCTTATTAGGAAGCATGGTGGACTTTTTTAAAGCCCTCTAGCTTTCTGTCGTAATGTCCTTCAAGGCAGGAATGTTTGTCGTGTGCACTCTGCTGCAAAGAGATAATTGTGTTTAAATCATAAGGCTCCTTCCTTAATAAACTTACACACTTGCCTACAGCACTTAATTCAAGACTGACTTTCAAAAGAAAGTTGGATGCCCATCCCAGTAGAGTTTGGTGCTCTACCAGAAAGTGTTTCTTGAAAGCCTCACTGTTGGTCAACTTTCCCATTGAATTTTGGGTTGTTTTGGTTTGTTTGGGTTTGTTTGTTTGTTTGTTGTTTTGGTTTTTTTTTCAGTACTGATCACTGTAAGCAAGCAGTCTTAGCGTGAAATCTGCATATCTGGGATCAGCTGACTTTGCAGATACAGTAGAAATGGAAATGGGTGACAAGGGGTATTTGCTCCCATAGCACTGAGATTCAGAACATGAAAATGTGAGATTTTTTTCATCACTCCAGGGTTTTGCTCTGGTTGGTGTGATTGTGAATGCTGATGCTATCTGAGATGGTTCTACTGTGCTGATGTGAACAACTTGATCTTGCTTAGTATTTGCTGTAGTAAGACTGCCCATGAGCTGCTCCAAAACCCAAGGAAGAAATCTCTGAACTGATTTAAAAGGATTTTAAGAAATCACGTGGAGAAAAAACTAGAATTCATAAGGCTTTGTTTAAATACTTAGTATGCAATGCTGGGAGAGAGAGGAGTTGTTGCTATGGGGTGGCTTCCAGCAAGGTTGCAGAAGGACGGGTCTGGATTGGTTGCAACTTGTGGGTAGGTGACAGCTGTGCCCGTAATGCACTTAGGGGCTTAGAGTGCTGCTGCTTGCATGCAGTCTGAAGCTCGTGTTCAGGAAACTCCATTGTGGAAAAATGCGGATTCTTGAAGGTTGTATGCTTGTGCTGTGTACTAAGATTGAAAGAGATTTGTTGAGTTAGTGAAAGTGGTTCTCACTCTGTTTTGGTACTTAATCATGTTGATGAAGACAAGATGACCGTTGCTGTTGTGGACTTCAAAAACCGAGGAGGAGGATGACATATAAACACACATCTGTCTTAACTATTGATGTTTACAGCCATAGCAAGTCCTGACCATGTAGGACAGAAAGCACAAAAATGGTATATTTTCTTAACAGTGTGTGCCTCACAGTCTTTTGACAACACAACATTTTTGTAACAGCTGTGGGAATTGTTTTGTAAAATAAAAACTGAACTCTCAGAATTTGACCACAATGTTTTGTATTGTTACTGATTCTATCTGTTGCTCTTTTTCTGTGTATTTGCACTGTTTGATTTCTACTTTGATAAATATCTTTTTTCATATCTTTTTCTGTAAGGAATCCCTCACTTTTGAGTGTTGTTTTTTTCTTCAATAAAGTTGTAATTGCATTAAACAAATTGCTCTTGCAGTTAATTTGGACGTTTTAATGATGACTCCAGACGATGCTCAAATTGCTGATGAGGTAGGGGTGATATGATTATTTTTTTTAACCTCAAGTGTCAACATAATTTTGCCAACAAATTATTGATTTAGTCTGTGCTACAGAGCAAATTATTCCTCATTCCATTCTGTCAGCAAAAACTATTAGTCGTGTCTCTTTCTTTGTGAAATACGTGCATTCAGAATACTGCAAGTAAAAAAAAAAATAAATCAGTGATTTAAAAATGCACATGTCAGAAGTAGGGCTAGAAGCAATGACTCAGAAAGCATATCTGTTTCAGTTGGTGTGTAACATGCATCCAAAAACTTGCTGTGATTTTAATTTTCCTTACCTATGTGGTGGGCACCAGCCTGCTTCCAGTGGCTTAATTTTTTCCTTCTGAGTGGTAGGGCAAACCCAAATGGCTGCCATTTATTTATTTTAATTGCAAGGGTGGTTGCAACCCTTGAGCGTTTTGAGAGATGTTGTGCTTTCAGTTTTGGTCTTCTAAGAAAACTGTCTCAAAGCTGAATGCACTGAAATTTCTTCACAGGAAGGTCCAATTTTTTTATTTTTATTTTTAATAGAAGAGACCTGTCTTACTGTAACACAGGAACCTGGTGGTTCGTATTTTATCTTTTTGGAAAGAGCTCAGAGGAACCCAGGGAGTTTCATATAACTTTCTTATCAAGACAGCTATGAGTATGAATCTAAACCTACAAATGCAATAGATTCTCTCTATAAATGTTCAGTCCCTTGTTTTCTCTGCTTCGTTCAAGCTGCATAATGTGGAGCTGTTGGAGCGGGTCCAGAGGAGGGCGGTGAAGATGATCAGAAGGCTGGAGGACCTCCACTATGGGAATAGGCTGGGAGAGTTTCAGCCTGGAAAAGAGAAGGCCCCAGGGGGACCTTGTAGCAGCCTTCCAGTACCTGAAGGGAGCCTACAGGAAAGTTGGGGAGCACTTGTTAGAAGAGCATGTAGTGACAGGAAGAGAGGAAATTGTTTTAAATTGGAAGAGGGCAGATTTAGACTGGCTATCAGGAGGAAATTCTTTACTGTGAGGGTGGTTGCCCAGAGAGGCTGTGGATGCCCCCACCCTGGGAGCAAATCCGTGCAAATCCATGGTGGATTTGTATTTAGTAATGGGACTATGGAAGGCTGCTGCATACCTAATGTCTACCCTTTCCCCTTCTCCCTCCACAAGGTCTGATTTATGAGAGAGAGTATTTTATGGATGCGTGTAGCTGGAATTTTTTCCCTTTGTTTACTTGTTTATTTCACATTTTGCTCAGGCTTGGTTGCAGTATCTTAAGGATAAAAGATTGTAAATGTCCATCCATACTGAACTGTGGAAAATCCTGAAGGGAACAAAAACCTGTTTTCTCTTTTTTTCTGAAGAAAGCTTCAGATGATTAGAGAGATGGAATAGAATATCTAAGCTGCCAATCTTTGGGATTGCTATTTTAAGTTAGCCTATTTGAAACCCTTTTAAGTTTTTCTCAGGTTCCCATGTGGCATCTCTAGAAGAGGTTATTTCTGAGAGTTTGTGATGCACAATCTGCAGAAATGAGGAGTAACACTGATGTAGCTAAATAATGGTATGTTAGGAGTATAGGCTGGCCAACACGATTTCAGTGCAGCTCTGAATGGATAGCACTTCCAAATGTGTGGAGTGAAAACAAATTATTTTGTCATGAGTATTTGCTCTTGTGTTTTCTATTTGTGTGTAATAGGATGTAGAAGTCTTGTTTCTTTTGAGAGAAGCAAGTATTTCAGCCGTGTATGATTATTATTAGAATCACAGAACATCCCGAGCTGGAAGGGACCCATGAGGATCATTAATTCCAGCTCCTGGCCCCACACAGCACCACCCAAACTCCAAGCCTTATATCCGGGAGCGGTGTCCAAACACTCCTTGAACTCTCACAGCTCAGTGCCGTGCCCACAGCCTGAGCAGGCTGTTCCCTGCCCACCGCCCCCAGTGCAGACCCTGTCCCTCACCACAGCTGCCTTTCCCCTGACACAGCTCCATGCTGTTCCCTCAGGCCCTGTTGCTGTCACATCTCCCAGATCCTTCACCGTCCTCATAGTCACCCTTTGCCCTCTTTCTAATGGTTCTATGTCCTTCTCATCTTGTGGTGCCCAAAACTGCACGCGTTACTTTTTTTTGTAATACATTTATGTTTATCACCAGCCTGACTAGATCTGGAATTTATTTTTTTTTTTTAAGAAACAAGAAAAAATTGCTCTGAAAAGCTTCCCATGCTTTCTGAGCTGATGTCGGTTGTAACAGCAGGCAGGGAGGTGCTACTTGAGCAGGGTGACTGAATAACTGCTAAAAACATACCTGGCTGAAGTTATTGAAACTGTCCTCTCCACCACCCCGGCAGTAATGAAAAGGCTAATCTTCTCTAAGTCTCTTATAACCCATCAATCTCTTAAGGGTCTGGATCTGTGATTAAAAACAGAGGGAAAGCAGCTGTCTTTTTATCCTCTCGTAATTATTCCTTGGTCGTCAATAGGTGTTGATTTCCTGGGAGTGTCATGGTGATAGAGGTTACGTTTCCCTGTGTTGTTGGGACTCAATGTTCAGGGGTGTTGGTTGTTTGAGTGCTCCACTGAGAGCCCTGGGGATGGAAAGCTTGAGTCTTGTTCTCTGTGATTTCACTGCATCATGAAGGTTTGGCTTATTTTGGAAACGTGCACCTAAAGGCCAAAAAACAGCTATCCAGTGTCAAGGCAAGGAGGGGCCTCTTTAATTACCTTTTCTCTATTTTTTTTCTTCTGCTGCATCACACCAGCTGGTGGTAGGAATGGGTTTTAAAATGATTTTAATTAGAAAGTCAAAACCAGCAACTTGCTTTTTACCGCTGAAATTTGATGAATAAATTTCAGTAAGCATTTCAGGTTTGTTCTGTCATTGCTGTTTCCAGACCTTGTTGCTGCAATTAAAAGTACGAGTAGCTAAATTCTTACTGGTAAATCCTGGACACGACTAGAGATGTGTCTAAGTGTTGTACTTGCACTTTTGACTAGAAGGAGTTAGTTCTGGGAGGCTGTGAGCCACAAGGTGGCCGCTTCCTGGTCAGTAGCACCTCGCTCTCTCCATGGGGCTCCAGAGGAAGTTTTCAATGTCTTCCTACTTCCTGAGACATCCATACCCATCTACTTGTTTAATTGCACAGCTACAGATGTCAAGTGTAAGAGGACTAATTCATGCTGTGTCCTACTTTCAGTGGCAATGACTGTCAGTCACCTTGTTACTCTGTTACTTGGTAAGTGCAGTTACTTTTTCCTTCAAATATCAAGTACAGGAAGACTTTCAGCTAAGAAAGAACCCATCTGATACCTGAGAATGGGTTATTTTTAGTGTCCCAGGAGTACCCAGTGATGTTAATCCATTTGTGTCTCATTTTCAGCATCTGCAGACTTGGAAAAATTTGTCTCTCAAGAAGGGAGGAGGGAGAAGGAATGTTTAGGAAGTATTCAAGTTTGTTATTTAGGTGAACAAAGGAGGCATTTAAAATGTAAAGGGTGTCTCCTAAAACAGGCCAGTTATTTGCAATAAAGATTTCCACCCTTAGTATTTTCTAGAAATGAAAAGTCAACAATAAGCAATGAAGTCTATGAATCTATTGCTTTGGTTTCTCTCCTGTAGCCCCTCCTCATGCAACTGCCTGTATGTAAGGCAGACCAGTGTATGATGTGATGAAGACCAATGAGTGAGGTGGGATTCATACGGATCTGGATGTGTATTTTTGAGTAAAATCTGTGCCATGGTTATATTAAGCTGATGACTTTTCTTGCATGCATGCAAATTTGTTATTTCTTTGGCTAATTCTGGGCTGTAAATACACATCAGTGGTGAGATGCGCCTTGTGAATATACTGCTACATGCATCACCAATTGCTCTTAGAGCCCGAACTCTTAAAGCTGAAATACCCTTCCCCATGCTCAAAACCAGCAATTGGCCATGCCATGAGCCAACCAAGAGGTAACTACTCTCTTTGGAAGATACTGAGGTTGCATGTATCTTGAGCTACAGTAACAAAGTTATAAATTTAAAATTAAAACTGCGTGAAAATGAAGTATTTTAAGAAAGATTTTTCTTTCTTTCTTTCTGTGAGAAAATTTTTGATGACCAAGCATCTTAAGTGGTAAGTGAAAGCAACCAAGTGTACCTTACTTTTGGTATCTCAGAGTGCATTTCATTGTTGTGGAGGATGCAAGTTTTAATATTTGAAACTACAAAGAAAATGCCTTTGTGCCTCTCCTGCAGGCACAAAAAAAAAAAAACAAAAACAAAAACAAAAACAAAAAAAAAAACCTGTAAAAATCCAGTCATTGATTAAAAATTAACCCCAAAACTTCCTAGTGTGCAATATTTCATGTAGCTCTGATTCCCGCCTTTATTAACATTTTGTAATGTCATGAAAGCAACACAGCTATTTCATGGTCTCTTAAGTGTTTGCTATGCCATTTGATCTCGTGTGGCATGTGCAGGGAAAAATGATAGAGCTTCTCTCTCCTTTTTGAGCATCTGAAAAAGAAAGCCCAAGCACTAATGAGTGTTTGTAATTCAGTGTTACATGATGTTACCTGATACGTGATTATTTTTCCAGATGCCAAGTGGCACACTTCAAAGTACCTAAATATCCTGTAGATTTTAATGTACATTCTTCATTTGCTCAGCAGTGAAAGGAGGCTGGTTAGTAACTAAGAGTTGCTATTTGCTTAGGCCTGGTACAGACAGACACCTTCCACAAGGTGAGTTGACTGATAATCTAGTTAAAATGTTATGAGCTGACAATTCAAACAAGGTATGTAAAGACTGGGAAGATGAAAGAAGGAAGATGTGTCAGAGTGCAAAGTTCCCACTTGGGATGATTGGGATTATAGATGCAAAAAATGCGTCACAGCTGCATGACTTTCCCTTCCTGTGGTGCTGAGATTGCTGGGCAGTGAGTGCTCACCTAAAGTCTCCTTTGTTCTGCACAACATCGTGTTGCTGCACACGTGCAGCTGTGCTGTTTTGAGGACTTGGAATCAGTATCCTCACTCTGGCTCAATGTTGAGGGAGTAGCAGGACTACTTTCCAAAAAAGGTGCTGTATGACACACATAGTACCTACAAACTCTGGCTGTTGCTGGTGAGGGAGATGATATCTCGTGGGTTTTTGCGCTGCGAGATTAGTTGAACCTTGTTAAAGGATGGATTTAATTTAAATCATGTTTTATAGTTTGTCAGACCCTTCCTTGTCTGTATAAATGTCATCAGTGGTGCACTGTAGAGCCCCAAACCAAATCATTTCATTGCTTAGAAAGCTGGAAGCACAGAAATTCAACAAGGGCTCTTGAGTTAAACAAACACAAAGTTCTAAGTAAGTAGGTAGAAAATATATTTCTCTAAAAAGAAATGCCCAAAGTTCATTTTCATAGCCAAGTCCCTGACTGTGTCATGTCTAACAGACCAGAAATCTCCTAGATGCTACTGGAGCTAAATGCATCTGCAGGAATTAGGCACTCAAGTGCCTTATGTGCTAAAGTCCAATGTTTACGGATCAGCGGTGTTCACATAACCTTCACTTAACTCTGTAGCACAGAACTGGACCCAGTTTTCTCAGATCCCTGTCTCACTGCTGAAGTTGATGGATTTCTTGGTATAATAGTGGCTTCTTTTACAACTGTCCTTTGTGGAAAGTAGACGCAGTTCAAAGAGACTTGCCAGATAAGGCCTCAGGCTGAGAGGAGAGGGAATGCCGGTTTTAGGAATGATGAAGGAGCTTTTGGATGAAGCAGACCTTGAGTAGGTCAGCAGTGCCAGGCCTCAAGACAGTTATGTCTATACCCAGCCTCAGAAGTGTGAGATCTGTCCCTAGAAATGCATCCAGAAGGAAGTTAAGTACTTTAAGGTGCCACAGACATTCGGTGAATGAAACTGGGGTCCAAGGGATGGACAGAGCAGGAATCAACAGTGGAGTGTAAGGATGCTACTTTTTCCTTTTGCAATCTAACATGTTAATTTAGGAACTTGGAGATTGTTGAGTAATGAAGTTAATGCGTTTATTCAACATGCTGGGTGAAAATAAGGCTATCCTCTTCTATCTTTAAGACTGTCTTCTCTGTTTAACTGTCTTGACTGTTACTAGCTCCTTCAGCTAGAGTCCGCATCAGCGAGAATGCAATTTCCATGCATTGTTTCAGTCTGGAAATGAAATAATTTTCATTAATGGAAACCTGGTTCTCAAGCAGAACAATTAGACCCACTTCAGGTTGAAAAAAGATAAAAGCATGCTAATTTGGATGGAGGACTCTTCTTTCAAGGCAGCCAATTGAGTCATCAGCCTGCCACCCACCTGACCGTCTGACAGGTAATTAGGAGATAGTCCTTTTTTTTGTGTGGAGTGTGTGCATAAACCTGCACACGCTGGTGTCACTGCCCATTGGGACTTCCAGAGGAACGAGCTAGTCAGTGGCAAAAGAGTGAGGAGGGCACGTTTCTCAGGCTGTGCCCAACGATCTGACTTGCTTTTTGATTTAGCTTCCTATTTCTGTCTTTTAGCAGCCACCCCAAGTTTCTGGCAGTAAAGTCATTATGGCAGACCTGGGTTGCAAAAAGCCCACTGACTGCACCGTCTCCAGGCTGCTCAGCGTCGTGGAGAGTGAACTCCGGGCAGGGAGAGACAAAGGTGACCCCACTGAGAAGCAGCTGCAGGTTGTCTTAGAGGATGCTACCCTCTGGCAGAGATTCAGAGAAGTCACCAACGAGATGATTGTGACCAAGAATGGCAGGTGAGTGATCTGCATAGCACTGTGTGCTAAGGGTGGGTGACAGCCGGGGGGTGTGAAGAGGTGTGTGCATAGGCTAGAGAGAACTGCAGTGAGCATGTAGCAGTGTGGTCCCCTAAAAGCAGGGTAGGGACAGAATGGGGTGTCCCCACTCCTTTCTGTGAAGCCATTCCTGCCACACTTTATTCCTGTTTGTGAAACATGCTGGAGAAATGTATTGACAAAAAGGGAACTTTCACCGAGGTGTGGACACTATCTCTCAAAATCTTCTGGATTGCTTCTTGTGCTACCAGTCATTAATGTTTATTACCACATTCCTACCTGTAGATCTCAAGGGACTGTTCAGAAGCAGATCAGTGCTGTTATCTACCCGTTGCTGTTCTTGTTTCTCAGGCTTTGGAGGTTAACAGTCTGCACATACAATCTGTACTAGAAAAGGGTACAATCCAGCTGTGCTCTGTGGCTTGTATGTGCGGTCCGGATCAGTGTGGTCCCACAACTGTACCTCACAATTCTGTAGTTGTTGCTGGTGTACTTAGTAAGCACCGTAGAATGCTGGCTGACATACAGAGCTTTAAAAAGATAACAAATTGTGATATAAGGGGATCACGTATCTTTCTGTTTTCTGAGTGCAAAACCCGGAGAAAAGAATGTTAATTCTGAATTGGATACTGGCTCTCCAGATAGGCTCTGCACTGATCTGGGAAGGCAACAGAGTCCAGGTAATGACTAGAGGAAAGTTTTCTTGTACAGCACTACTAAGGTTTACAGTAGTACTTACTCTACCCTTGCCACCTCTGCCATCTTCTCCCACCCCTCCCTCCATGCATGTTTCTTTCACAAGGAATATCTGCATGGGAGAGCAAGATTAAGAGATGAGAGAAAAGCTTTTCGCTCATGGTGTGAGTTCCATCAGTTTTGCAGAGATTTTGGTTGAACAGAACTTGTGGAAAAGATTACTATTGCCTGCAGCCTGTCAGGGAAAGCAATTAAGAGGGGAAGAATCTTGTCTGCTAGCTCAGCAAGGTTCTTCTACTAAGAGAACAGTTCTACTTCCAAAATATCACTGCTTAGCACTACTCTGATTCCTAGGAATCGATAAGGATAGATGTTGTCTTCTGTTCTTCTTCTTTACACCAAGAAGCTGCTTTTGTTTAATTTGAATGTTTATAGTTGCTGTTGGGCTAAAGCAAACTTCTGAGTGGATTTTCACTTAATGTAAGGTAGATTTAAACATTCCTTGTCAGCATAAGTAACCAAGATGAGAATAAATTTGCACCAAATTAATTAAATGGATACAAAGGATTGTGCCTTACCAGCAGGTTGTGGGTTATTTTTTTTTTTTCAGTTTCTTTCCTCAGTGCTAATGTATGTTGTGATTGCAGGTGATACTCTTTCTCTCTAAAATGTCTAGGTGAGTGCATGTACATAATCTTTTTATGCTGCTGCTGGGATGAAAATCCATCATTACTTGAATATCCAATGTTACATTTTAATCGTGGAAGCTTATTTATTTTTCTTCATTCTTACTTAGCACTGACCTTATCAGCTGGCTCTTATTTTTCCTAAAGCTAGTGCCAGTGGGGGCAGGTACGCATTCTTTCTATCTGATCAAACCATAGCAGTCTCAGACTAAATTTGTTTAAGAGTATTTTAGCAATCTGCATGAATCCTTATAATGAAGATTCTGTAGCATTAATGACTACAAAAAAAAAAAAAAAAAAAAAAAAAAAAAAAAGCTCTCTTTCATTTCTGAAAGTATTTTCCCTTAACAAACCAACCAGCACAGTGAGAAAATGGAACAGACAGTGGCTGCTGCAAAACCCTCTGAACAACTCCATGCTTTTCAAAAGGAGACAAACTTGAGACAGTTTCCTGTAAATCCTGAGCTTTTTTCCAGGCTCAGAACTCTTCAGTGGCAGTCTCTAAAGGGATTCTCAAAAGAAAAAACATTGATCTAATTCTGCTGCTGCTTACAGCGATAGAACCAACTCAGACATTCTTCTTGAAGGATATGTGAGCACTTTTGAGAACTGTTTTCTAGGATTAACAGGAAAAGCCAGCCTAAGCTTGGGTGTTTGAAAATGAAGGGCAATTTGTGTGGAAATATCATTAGTAAAATTCAGAAATTAAACTGAAACTTGATGCGGGAACATAGTGGAGAATGAAAGGCTGTCTGATACGATTCTCAAATGTGAATTTCTAGCATGCACAGTTCTATCTGCTGTGATTGAGTCATCTCTAATTGGTACTGAGAATCCCAAAATGTTCTGAACCACCTTCACTGTTAATATGTAGATACTTCTCCATAGCTGCACTGTGCTTCATTATATGAATCGCCTTCCACAGCAAAACACCTAGGGACACAGGGAAGATGGATGTGTTTTTAATAGGACAGATACAGTGAAATTAAACTGTATGCTGTATCACAAGATGTGTCTCAAAGGGTGCAGCTCACATGCTGGAATCAGTCTCCTATTTTACTCAGATTTATGGTGTTGGCATTTCAACATTTAAACAACCCGTTTGCTGACTGAGCAAGTTTTCTTACAACGTTGATACCACTTCAGCGGTATTCTGAAACATCCACATTACTGTGCAGAGGCAGGAAAGAGCCTCTATTCCCCTTTATATGTGGGGAGAATCAGTACTGGGTCAGTGCAGGCAAACATGGAAGGGGATGTCGGGAAAGGCTTAGATCTTAAAGCAACTTTACTACACATTCAGATTTGATACCAAACATCTTCCCACTCAAGCTTCGTACCATGGAGTAATTGTAGCAGATCTTCTCTAAATAAATGGAAGAGATGGAAACACTCAGCTATTGCAGTAACAGAAGTCACATGTGCACCTACCTGATCACTGGAATCACTTCTGACTGAAATAAATTTGTGGAAATTTTCATTTGCCGTGCTACAGCATGCGATTTGAACAGTAAAGCTGTTTATCTGCTCAACAAGTGAGGTGGTAGGTCTTCCATCATTAAGGCCTGTACAATCAAACATGCTGATCCAAATGAGTTGGGGATTAATTGTGTGTGTGGCAAAGATTAATACAGGAAAGCGCTGTAACTTATGTGGTACAGGAGGTTAGAGTTGATGCCGATCTGCTTCTTCTGGGGATAAACTCAAGCCTCTCAAGTAGAAAGGCAGAGAATTTTGCTTTGTGTGCAGAAGAACTAACAAATAGTTCTGAGAAATCTAGCAAAATTAAATTTTTTCAGGATGAATTTTCCCCTCTGTTTCAATTTCAGCTAAATATGTAAGCCTGTTACTTTGAAGATGGGCTGCAGGTGACGTGGCTGTGCAGGGTGCAGTGCATCCACAATTTTAGTCATGTTCCTATTTGAAAGAAGGGGGCATCTGGTCAGAAAGACGTGTTAAATGTAGTGAATAAATTCTTGGCTAAACTTCTACTTAGAAAGATCATGGTTCAGCATATCTTTCTCAGTGTTGCATTGGCACTGAGTCACCAAGTACTCATACTAAATGAAAAAGCTCCCTCAAATCAGAGAGAGTAGGCAGGAGGTGCTGAATGTATGTTTAGAAAGGTAAGGAGTAGGATGTTGTAAGAGGCAAAGGAGATGGTCAGCAGTCTGCAGGTGAATCCTGCTGAAGAGTATGAGTGCAGGGGCCTTTTGGTGTCACTGGAGAGAGTGGATTTTGGACATTTTGCACTACTGCCTAACAAAGCCTAGAGAGCTACCGTGACCATGGACCTCAAACAATGGCTGAGGTGTAACTAATCTCTGTATCTCTAGAGAAAAGAAGCTTAAAGTCTTACTGTTCTATGCATAAAGACGTGGCAAACTGTTGGTTTCCAGGAGGAGTCAGTGTGGATATTTCTGGGGCCAGGAGACCTCATGTTTATATAAGCATAGTAGGAGGTGATATATAGTAACTGCAATAATTCTCCATGTAATGATGTGTATGATGCCACAACCTAAGAAACGTAATGAGTAAGATATCTTTGATGGGAGATGTCTGTTCTGCTACTTTTCCCAGTTCCTGAAACTGTGAGAGCCCTACTAATTCCATTGCTGTAGACTTGTCCAGGCACTGAGATGCCAATTCAAAGCTGTAATCACAAGTATTGGAACAGAAAGAAAACTGATGAAAGTCTACCTCTGTGTACTGCTGCAAATCTCCTTTACAAAGGAAGGCATAATAAATAAATGGGAGTTAAGAAAAGGGGGCATTGGAATCAAGGACAAAGATGCTTCAAAGTGTTTTCCCAAAACTAAATGAGGACAGTATTTTAATTTTATATGCACAAGATGGTGGGAATTCTGGATGATACATGTTTAGAGCCCTTAGTAATGGACAGCATTGCATCTACGGTAGAACTGTAAGTGTAAGAATGTGATCAAACTGATGAGGATGAAGAATATGGAAGGAAGGGAGCAGATGACTGAAAGAATGGCCAAGTGCAGGTTGGTCAGCAAGGGCCAGACTTGTCAAACTGGAAATGAATGTACTGATGGTGGAACAGTATGAGAATACTTCTTTTTAAAAAAGGGAAAAAACTACAGTTAACTGTTTCAGCTAACTGATTTTTAATATACCCATAATCTAGCCTTTAATATACCCTTTAATAAGACTTCAGGATGTATTTTCAAGGAAAAGGTAATGAAATATATGGAAGATGATGGAAGATGAGATAAAAAGCATTTTACTAAATGTTAAGTCATGCCTGACTAATCATGAAGTAAATAATCAGGAAATAAATAATTTTACACAAGGTAAGTGCAGCCAAATTATTAGTGCACTTGAGTACTGCTACCTGGAAACTGTTACTTAAGTGACAGATACTGGAGTTTAGTAGATGAACCACAGGAAATGAGTCAGAGGAAAGTGAATCATTTAGCTCACAGAGACCATGGAACCATCCCTTCCAAAGAAGGAAGAAAAATCTTTGCATATTGTTTGTGGTGGTTATCTGCCTGGGATTATGTCCTAAGGGCTGGAAATGGCAAGATGATTTTAGAGGATATATACAGAGCGAGACAAAGTAGAACTTGGCCACTGGACAATGTTCTGCAGGAAAATAAAAGCACCAAAAAGCAATTTATTGCAGGATTCCATAATTAATGCAGTTAATCTGTGGTTTGGCTTCAGTTTCTTGATCATGTTTGAGTCTGTTCAATCCTGTTCACGCCTTCTTGTCTCAGACCTAAGGATGGTACTTAGCGTGTCCATATCCAATAGATGCTGCTGACACTATACACAGTTCATAAACAGAACACATTCACAAATCTAGATCAAGACCTGAGTACCTACTTCAGCAATTACGTATTTTTCCAAAATTTTAAAAATAAAAAGAAGGATTAAACTGTAGGAGACTTTTCTCTATCTATACAGAGAGAAATGGGGAGGGAGGATGTTCCTTGACCTAATCTGCGGGGTGCCGGCCACAAACTCACTAAGACGAGCCTTTCAAAATCGGTTTCTAATGGTATCTCCCCTTTTTGGTTCTTGAACAGGCGCATGTTCCCTGTTCTGAAGATCAGCGTATCAGGCTTGGACCCCAACGCCATGTATTCTTTCCTGTTAGACTTTGCCCCGACTGATGGCCACCGCTGGAAGTACGTCAATGGAGAATGGGTGCCAGCTGGGAAACCGGAGCCACCAAACCACAGCTGTGTCTACATCCACCCAGATTCTCCCAACTTTGGGGCCCACTGGATGAAAGCTGCCATCTCCTTCAGCAAAGTCAAACTCACCAACAAGCTCAGTGGGAGTGGGCAGGTATGGGTATGGCCTGATGTTTCCCCATACACCTCTTGGCTTCGATTGCAAGCACCTACCAATCAAGAAATATCAAGGGTGCATTTATGTAATTATAGAGGCCCTTACAGTCCTCTTCACCCACAGATGCCAATTATTCTCTGGAGGCCACATGTAAACAGGAATAAACAGGCCTTAATTGGCGCTTTCAGATTTTAATGGATTTCTTGATGTTAAGAGAAACAGAGTGCTGTGGTTTACTTAATCATCAGGGGGCTTTTGAGAGTTGGTCTTGTGTGCTGGTTTTTTTTGTTTTTTTTTCTTTTACATAGGACTTCAGAGAAGGGGGAAAGAATGGTCACGGGTATTAGGTTTTTGTTGTGTTCCCCCATGTTGTTTGGTGTAAGTGGAATGTTGGCAGGAGTCAGATAGCAGAATAAAAGGCTGCTCCTAAATGAAATAATTACTATGTCTGCTTCTGCATCATGATAATTATCAATATTCTATTGAATCAGCTTTGGCCTTTGGAAAGAAACCACATGTACCAGAAATAAGTGACTTTCTCTTTGAACCCCTTAAAAATGCAAACAGGAAAATTAGTTTTGCTTCATATTTTGTTTTTGATGATGCATCTAAAGATAAAATATTGCACAAGACCTTTTGTTTGCTTGTTTTTGTACAAAACTCCTACGTTGGATGATACTTGTCAGCCCAGAATTTTTTTTTTTTTCTGTGTAAATTTTGTGTGTTCTCCACCCATTATTTCCATTTGGTTTGTGAGGTACCTTCATAAGCCTAGTGCCTTAATTAGGTAGGAAATTATCTCAATTTTTAGAGACTGAAGAACAGAAAGATGACCTGACTTTTCATAAAGTAACACATAGAATTGGCACACAGGGCTTACTGTGTAACATAAAATAGGATCTGAATTTGCAAATTCTAATCCTGCATCCAGGACCTTAGAAAAGTTAAAAGTCTAAATGTATGCACTGTAGAAAGAGAGGGACAGGAACAACAAAAAGACAGTTTGGAAGGTCAAAGAAACCTTGATGGGAAAGACAGGAACAAGATCTTATGTATGGGCAAGGGAAGAAGGAGAAAGTAGAAAGGAAAGATGGAAATCCTAAAGGAGAAACAATCCAAAGAAAAGTCAACTAAATGGCAAACAATTGTTTTAAGTTTTGGCAGCAGTGTTAAGGTAAACCACATCTCCACTGTGTTTCAGCTTCCCCTTTTGTGGTATTATTAGAAAGTATTAGCAGAAAGCACTGTTAATCAGCTATTGGCCCCTATTCCATCTATATATATGCACATAGCACTTTCCAAAATACATTTTTTTTCTTAATTTTAAATATGTTTTGTTGCATTAGAGATAATTAAGTAATGAAACAGGCTTCCTGAGGAAGGTGTTCTGTAGAATAACCATTATACACAGCTTTAAATGCTAGAGTAGAGACATTTGCCAAGGCTTGTTTAGGTATATCTTGCCCAGAAAGATGAGAGGTGACTACCTCAGCTCTACCCTGGCCTTGTTTTCTGTGATGATAATTCTGACTCTTTCAGATAGCAGAAGCAGAATAGAGATTGCTCTTTAACTGACTGAACAACCTCTAGTGCAGTGGAAGCCCGGTGGTGTGAAGGCTGTGGCTACTAACACATATGCTGCTGTATCAAAATCTTTACATCCAAGCCCACTCTGTTCAATGCAGTTTGCCAGGAATTAGGAAGGCACCTGCCCTTCTGCTTTCAATAACAATAAACTGGAGGGGTTTAATCTGGTCTATTATAGAGCAAGAATGAAAAAACAGCTGCGGGATGGATACTGGAGTTTCACTGAGGTCTTTCTGTTTTGTTTTCTGCAGATAATGTTGAACTCCCTGCATAAATACGAGCCTCAAGTACACATAGTTCGTGTAGGAGGCCCCCACAGGATGGTGATGAACTGTTCCTTCCCTGAGACTCAGTTCATAGCTGTGACTGCCTATCAAAATGAAGAGGTAGGCAGATGCCACGCTGTACTCTTGGGTATCATTGATGAGATATATGTTAGAAGCCTATTAACTACAAGATCAGTGTGTATAAACTGGTCCTTTCCCCATTTCACTACTAGTCCCATGCAGTTTAATGCTCCACCCAGTCTAATACTGTCTTCTTTCTGCAGTTGAAAACTATTCAGTCCAAGGTCTGGCTGCAGTACTAAGCCAGATTTAGCTTAATATTCTGCCACTGCTATTCCAGATTGGTCCATCTATCCTGGCATCCCAATCTCTTACTGTAAAATACCTACAGTCAGTTCACATATCTTTCTATAGTAATGACAAACAGTTTTAATGATAATTGTAGTTCTTCCCTCTCCTTAAAATGCATACAGTTATGGAAAGACATATCATTCTACAGGAAAATTTCTTTTCTACTCTAAAATTGGAATTGAGGAATAATTTGGATTGTGACAATTGTTCACTCATCTGCCATATTTCTTGGCTGCAGATTTGATTTGTATTTGTTTCTCTTCTCAGTTCTCTCGAAAGGCTTCACAATCCCACAGGAATTACCAGACTAGACCACACAATTAAGTTGCCCCTTTTGGTGTGCTGCCTGTGGCACTGATCAGTACACAGCACTAAGCAAAGAGCAAATATCCCTCCAACCACTCCTGGAAAACGATACGTGGGGATATATTTTGTTTGTCTAACCATAGCAGTTCCACTTAGTTTCCTCGGGAAGATGTTGTTTCAACTCTCTATTCCAAATTGCCTTCACTAACGTGCCTTGTTTTCTGTAAACTCAAGATAACAGCTCTCAAAATCAAGTATAATCCCTTTGCCAAAGCCTTCCTGGATGCAAAAGAGAGGTGAGTTGATCTTTTTCAGCTCCAGTAGTATTTGGTTGCTGATATGGTTTAAAACTGTGATGTCACCATGGAAAAAATAAATTATACATAACTTAATCTTGTTTCTATTGTCTTAAGTCTAGAGTCACCCCACTGAAACTAGTGGGGAGACTATATAATAGTCACCATGAGATGTCCTAATGTGGGTGAGTAGTCTCTTCAAGACAGAAGGACACATGAAATGAAATGGGTATGAGTTTTCCCAGTGATGTTGTACAGCTCATATGTTCACTACATTGTACTTAGACTCCAGTGAATACCATAATTCAATAGGCCAGGGAAAAAAAATGCTGCATACTTCAAAAAGCATATAGTTAAAGTGAAAATGCGCTTTACTGGTAACATAGACACACTGCTATTGCTGAACCTGTGTGATACTCTGTGATGTGTTTATTAGAAGTAACCTGCAGGTGCTCACTATGGCAGAGATGCTTCTGCCACCAGAAACGGACTGAGGCTTAATTATTTTACAAAGATTCACTTCATCTGTACTAACACACTGAGGCATCCAAATGATCAATTCCCATCCATCATTGCTAATAAATTTTGTCCAGGTCTGCTGCGTCTTCTAAAATGACGTCTTCTCCCATATGCCTGCAGGAGAATCACTATTTCTTTCCTTTCCACTCTTGGAGCTGCTGTGTCTCAATTCTCAGTTGCAGAGGGCAAATGCTGCCTTTGTCTCATGGCCCTAAGCAGGAGGCAGAGCCTTGCTTTAGACTGAGTGGGATGCAGGAAGTCCCAGGTGTCCCGCAGTTAGACCTAGCTTTTCAGGCTCAGGATGCTGTGTAACATAATTGTTTCCTTTATGACAGAGTGCAGAAAAGTCTTTTTTTGTGTGTGCATGACTAGTTTTGAGTTTTTAAAATTTCTTTACTAATTTTGCAATAAGAAGTTTTACTGCTAGATGTTTTCCCTTTCAGAAACCATCCCAAGGATGCACCAGAAGCAGTCTCTGAAGGTCAACATATGACATACTCTCACTGTAAGGCTTTTGTTCACGTGAGCTGGAGATTTTGTGTAGACAGATGCTGGGAAGCTGGGATCTGCTTAACTGGATCAGAGCAGCAGTTCACTGAGCCTTGAACTGCCTTTGCAGAAAAGGACTGTCTAAACTAAATAACGACTGAAATAACTTCAGTAGGAAATCAGTTTCTGCAGAAGGATCATTTTTCATATGATCCAATTTTTTATGTAAATGGAATCCAGGAAAAAAAAAAATTATATATGGAATTTTAAGGGCTTTCTCTCTACTTGTTTTGTATTTGTAACTGTATTTTTGTCCCCCATAAAACTTTCATCATTAAGCGGGACAAAAATTTAAATGAGGGAGAAGATGTTGTGTTCATTCCAATGATGATCAGCTTTTCTTTCATTTATTCTTTGACATTAGTGACGTTTTTTCTTAGTGTGTTTTCAGGTCTTGTTTTTGGTGGTGGGATTTTTTGGTGGGCTTTTTTCATTTGGTTGGTTGTTTTCTGCTTGTCACTTGCTCCATGAAGCAGTGTTTTGGCATGGGTTTGATATTACTGAGGCTCAGCTGGTGTGCAAGAAGCCTGGCTGCTTTATTGAAATGCAATGTTTTAGTTCAATAATATTCTTGTCTTTCCCTTCAAAGTGGGTGGCTGGTTGATTTCCAACCCAGATACAATGTGTGCATCAGGAAGCTCTAATTACCAGTATACTGCACCTTTACCTTTGCCAGCTCCACACGCTCCCCACGGCTGTGAGCGATATTCAGCACTGCGAGGGCATCGGGCTGCTCCATACCCACCTTCCTACATGCAAAGAAATCATTCACCTACAGGTACAACTGCTTTGCTTCCAGGAAACATTCACCCTGACCGACCCTTGCTTTGGTAACCCTAAGCAGTAAAACAATTGAAAGCTGAAACTGGGGAAGAGCAGTGTGAGTGTCTGTGACAATCTGCGCTGAACACCGAATGCAGAGGGTATGGTTAAGGCAACAGAAGAAGTGGAACAGAATTGTTCGGTGCATTGTAACTGCTAATTGTAAATAAGAGTGAATGATCTTGCTCAAAGTCCTTCTCTCAGTTATATAAAAGTATCAAACCATTACAAGCCCTCTTTTTAGTGATGTGCCACAAAACAGTTGCTCTCTCAAGTCAGAGCAGTCCTTAGGAACGTGGCAGATGTTGATTCGAGGTGAGGGCTTTTTGGTATTGCCAGGAGATCTTTCATGTCCCACCTGCTCTCTAGATCTGGGGGTGGAGATACAGAAACTGGATCTACTTTGATCATATGAAATTGACCAGAAACAGGAGTAAAGATAAAGTAATCTGTTTGCTAGCTATAATTTAGCAAAGCATCCTACTTAACTGAAAACTCAACCTATAAAGAAATGTGTACCAAAACATTGCCAGTAATATGGCAGTCATCATTAATCAAAAGATCCTTGGAAAAACGCATGTCATGAGGATTTGTTCTTTATTTTTTTCCCTTCAAAGTGAATTTTTTGGAGAGCTCCAGCAATAATCTTCAGGTATTCTCAGGACATGACAGCTGGACTTTGCCATCCTCTCCACATGCTAATTTGCTCTCTGTGCCACACACCAAGGGAGCTGCCAGCCCGGGGCCCAGGTAAGGTTACAGGAAAGCTGCTGGTATTAGGAGCACTGAGGCTAGTAGGACTGCCATAAGGCTCCATTCATGCCTGATTTCTTAACCAATTCCCACCTCCTCTACATACACAGTCTTCCTTAGGTGAATCACAACCTCAGTTTTCCATGTGTAAAGTGGAGATACTGTTTAACTGGAGGACCTATCAGACAGCAAAGTTTGCCCATGCTACATGAGTTGAAATACTACAGAAACAGCACTTACTAGTAGGTGCGCACACTTGCTAAGTCTCTCCAGTATTTTATCTAATAAACAATATGCCAGATAAACATGTATTCCAGAGGTTTCAAAAAATAAATTGTACAGATGTCAGCTTGCCTCTGTAATTTTAGCCTTTTTTGTTTTTTTTTTTTTTAAATTATGGAGCTCTTCATATTCAATTTACAACACATGGAATGTTTAATCATAACTGGGCTCTATAGAATTGATTGAGTTTGTTAATGACTTGAAGAATAAGAAGGGTGTTGTTTTTTTTGTTGTTGTTGTTGATTACTAAAAGATCTAGTAAAGAAAACCTTAGGAAGAAATACAAGTGAGATTCAGTATAGGAATGAGAATTAGGATGTCTAACCTAGCCATACTACCCTAACTCTAACAACCCTCCACTAAATCATGTCCTGAGCACCACATCCAAATGGTTTTTAAACACATCCAGGGATGGTGACTCAACCACCTCCCTGGGGAGCCTATTACAGTGCTTAACAACTCCTTCTGTAAAGAAGTTTTTCCTGATATCCAAGCTAAACCTCCCTCAGCACAACTTGAGACCGTTTCTCCTCATCCTGTCACCTGTCACGAGTGAGAAGAGACCAGCCCAACTCTTGTTGTAAGCACCTTTCAGGTATTTGAAGAGGTCAATATGGCCAGTGTTTCACCCAGCAGATCATATGCCCATCCAAACCATGGGCAGCCAGCTTTTCCCTATGAGGATGTTGTGGGGGACAGTGTCAAAGGCTTTAAAGGCTTTTCATTCCACCATGGCTCACCATGGTCTCCAGCTTCTCTGCTTTCTCTTATGCTTCAGAGTACAGAAAGTGGCCGATATTCCTGGTGTGATGCGATTGTTTCTCTTTAACTTTTCAATCCTGTTCAACGTATGCTGAAACAACAGTGGTGTTGCCACACTGCAAAGAGAAGAAGCTTCCCATGATCTGCCACTCCATGTTTCATGTCTGCTCACATCAAATAACCCAAATGAAAAAGTCTTTCACAGGCTGATGTGGATGAGTGGGAGAAATCTCTGCACCTGTTCACATTAGGACTGTACCTGCCCTGGTAATTCACACTTTATTTCATGCTTCAATCAGCATCCAGATTTTAAAACATGTCCCAGGTACCCAACTTAAGATTCCCAGACAGATCCTTTTGACAAGCAGATTACCTTCTGCCCAGATAAAATCAATGGGAGCTTTATTTTTCCCTAGCACTTTTGAAAGCCAGAATCTTGAAACTCAGGTGTCTGTAGTCAGTGAGAGTTTTCAAGCCAAATTGTCTTTCTCTCCATGCTGCTCAGTATTCTCTTGCATGAAATGAGGATCTTACTCCACTGCAGGGATATAACAAAGGCTAATTCATGGTGCATTATAGAAGTATTGGTAATAGGGCAGTAATCAGTTCTAGGATTGACTAGAACTTATTAGGCATGCAAAACCAATTAAGTATTTTCCCCTTCTTTCCCCAAATAAATGCATGAATTTCCTTATTTTAGATGCCAGGAAAATCAGGTGAAATTATTTAAAATATAAGCATTCATTAAGAAAAAAAAACAAACAAACAAACAGACACACTTAAATCCTAAAGCATCACATGTATTTGCATGTTTCTCTCCATGCCTATCTTCAGGGTCACCGAGTATAATGGCTGCTTGTATTTTTCACATAAGATCTGCAAAGCTGGTCTAGTTCAGCAACTTGATTGGGATACCAGCTTTTGAGCAGATAATGCACTTGACCATAGAAGTAAGTCCTATGCAGGTTTTGAAAAAATCATTCAGTTTGTACTGCTTTTTTTTTTTTCCAGCCATTACCCTTGCCTGTGGTCTGTGAGCAACAGCGCTGTAAGTGTCACCAACCCGGGAAGTGAGGTGAACAGCAACACTTCAAGCATGTTTTTAAGGGGTAATGTACCCTTACCAACTGCATCTTCATCCGTCCAAATCCCTCTGCAGGCAACTGCGTCTGGCAGCATGGAAACACAAGGGGAAGCCCCTCTAGTCAGACTTGTCGACTCTGCGTGGACGTCCTCACACTCCTTTTAATGGACAGGCAGCTCAAAAGGAAAGCTCAGCCAAACAAGAGAGAAACAAATGGCAAATGGCAAAGGATCCCCAGGAACTGAGCTCAGAACAGGGATGTGTACGCAAATTACTTCCCATCAAGCATCATTTTCCATAATGTATCTCTTGTGTGCCAGAAAAACCAAAATGTATAATGCAGAGGAGGGAAATCGTAGGGGAACTGGCTTATTACTGTAACCTTCCTGCATTATTGAGAATGATATCCAGAAAGAATCTTTATAGTTGGCTTTGCTCCTTCCTCACATCAAAATGATCAGAGATATGGGACTGACCGAAGCAGACATGGCAGCTGGATATTTGCACGTCATTTTAGAAGGGCCCTTTCTGAAACTGAAAGCCAAGTCCATGAAAATTGTGGACAAATTTGCAACCATTGATTTGAAGTGACAGGGCTGCTTTAAAGGCTTTCTGAATTTGTCACATGAAGGTTTCCTGAAACTAAGCTTTTTAGAGGGGTTGAGATTAGTCTGACACCCTAATTCAGCTTGCATATGGTATTCTCTGTCCCTTTCCTTTCTTCAGCTCTTGTGTGCTCTTTCTGTGTTATAGGGATAAAGGACAATGCTCAAGCTGAGAAAGCAGCTGCATTGTAGCAGCAGGTGAAGGGCGTCTGGTTTAGCATTTATAGTCTAATGTTAAATGAAAAGTTCTGATGTTTTCTGCATGTGTTATTTTTGAGAGGATGGAGGGAAAGTAATTCTAGAAAAAAAAATCAGCTTACATTTCTACTTTGCTTCAGGCAGAGTACTAATAAAATATGAATCAATGGTGTATTATGGTTTCAGTGCATTTCCAAGGTGTAAATGTGCAAACCAATCATTTTTACTTACTAACCTCTGAGAGAATTTAAATTAGCTCCACCAGAAGCATGTTGTCAGGAGTCTTCTATTGCTCTGCCAATTACTGGCCATATGATCTTAAGCATGGCATTTCATATCTTTGTACCTGTTTTCCCTTTCACTTTCTGTTTGTTCTTTTGTTTGTCTGTCTGTCTGTTTGTTTGTTTGTTGAAGAGCTTCCTTTTTAAGGTTGTTGCTTTTCCTTTCCCATGAGAGAGTACAATATCTATCACAGCAGAAGTCTGATCCTGTCAGCGATATCCAACTACTAATAGTATAAAGCAAATAATAACTTACTCCCTCGGATATTCCTTGTTTACTTCCTCAGTCAATCCCCATTCACTGCTTTCATGCACAGAGGACTTGCTATGCACTAAGGAAGTGAGCAGCAGTAAAACATGTTAATGTGAATTATAAGGTATGCTCCTGCCTTGTACTCCATGCTGATGTACATTTTCCTTTCTGAGTCTCTGTCAACTGCAGAAACCCCATGCAATGTCAGACAGCATGTGTGAAGTTGGTGGGTTTTTTCAAGTTCTTAGGCCTGAATCATACCCTTAAGGCGCTTTCAGTGCTATGCAGTTTCATGACACCTCCATCTGGCTTTTTAGATTTACTGCAGGCAAGGCACTACACCAGAACGCACTTAAGATGCTATTAGTTTTAGTAATGTGTGCTGTTCTTAGCTGAAAGCAAAGCCATGAAGTTGTTTCAGACATGCATTTCTGTTGAAGGAGGCATTGCTCAAACAGGATCTAACAGCAGAAGGTGAAAAGCTCTGTAGCCTACTATTAATCTAATTGTTGACAGTTCTAACTTAAATCTTCCTTTCCAAATTCTATCAAATTTCTCAGTATTGCCTTTCTCTACCTTGCAGCCAGAAATGTCAGTAGATGTTTCTCTCTCAAATAGCTCTGCTTTACCACCAGATGAAGCTGATTAATTAACGTATACTACCCTCTTCTGGCTGCTTGGATCCCCACAGCAGGTGCTGAGTCTACATTAAAATGTCTATAGATGCTAAAAAAAGGCAAGTGACGACTTTTCTGTGTGCCACAACTTGCTACGCTTCCTTCACGGTTAATCGGTTGGATAATTGTTAGCTTTCCCTCAAACTGCATTACAGTAACAGATAAATGATCGTAAGAAGTTAGTTATGCAAACGGGAATTTTATTTCACAAATAAACAACCTGGGAGAAAATCCAATTAGCTTTCCTGATAGCCCTGCAGGAGGACAGAGAGGGCTGATAAAGGATCAGAATGATCAGGCACAAGAATCAATTTCCTTATTGCTGTAAAAGCAGCCATGATTTGTGTCACAGAAAGTTCTGACGTCTGAGGAGCAAGCTAAGTTTTTGTCGTTGCAGAGTCTGGTTTAGCCTGAGGAAAGGCACAGCAAGATAAAACCAGCCCAATGCCTCGAAACACTGTTGCTTTGATAAATGCTTTTAGAACTGGGCTCTGGCAAGGGACGGTTTGCTTCTGAGAAGCAGTAGTTGCACTGGGGATAGCTTTTACCACCGGTCAACAAGGAAGAAACACCACTGTAAATTTGCAGGTCTCATTTCCGCAGCACAGTGCCTTGCCCTGCGTGCAGCCGCCGGCTGGGGTGCTCACAGCACTCTCCTCCCTGGGGAAGAAGGCCCTTCAAATATAAACCATCCCCCTCATGGCACACCGCCATTTTGGGTCGGACAGACCTCTGCTTCTATCAGAAATAGCCAAGCATTTCTGACTGATACCTTTCACTTTCTGCTCTACCCGATGACTGAAAGTGCAGAAAGAGAAGGAAGAGCTCCCTGTTTTCGTATATTCTGACAGATAACTTCCCTGCAAGTCTCCAGTGAGCACACACCTGCGGCACTGAGGCAGGCCACGCCCCTCCTCCTGCTGGGGTGCCGCCATTTTAGGCAGTCGTTATGACAGATGAGTGTGGCTGCAGCTCCTCCAGTAACCTGCATTTTAAGCCTGCGAGGAAAGCTGGTTCTTTGTGATGCAGGTGAGCTGGCAGCCTATGTGGCCTCAACCTAAAAAGCCACAAGTGGGGCCCCTCCTGTGCCTCGCCTTCTGCTTGCCAATTCTCCATCCTGCTCTCTCACATCAGTAGGAATCCCCTTGGCGTCACCTTATGCTCCTGCCCATACCCCAACAGAAGGGCAATGCAGCTTCCAATTTTCCAGTCCACTACTGTGGAGTTTTTAGGGAATGTCCCTTTGCTCACTGACAGGTAGAGGACCAGACAGCACGCATATACCAGCAACTGAAGTCTCCAGCTGAAATGCTTCTTGGTGAGGTGCTTCCAGCCCTAGGCTCCCATCCATCAGAGGAGACCAAGCAGCAGTAACTTCCTCAGAAGGCGTTTTCATGCCTCACATCCTCCCTGTACCCTGTTCCCTCTTCAGTGGGCTGCAAAACCTTCCCTCCACAGGAACCCATGCCACTCCCAGGTCAGCTGGTCTGCCCAACTTTGTCCTGTGACTGAGGTATTTTCAGCTTCTCTTTTGTTTAGAAAGTTTCATAGCCTGTTATTTTTCTCCCCCTTCCCCCTTTTCTCTGCAGTTTTACTGACACAGTATTAGGAACATTCTTGCTTATGTGCTGAGTTACAGGCACCAGGAATTGAGTTATGTAAATGAAGACTGGGGAGGGCAGTCATGAGAGAAGAAGCTGGCATCATAATTCAGCATGTGCTTTTTAAGGCCCTTAAGAGGAGCGCAAATGATCAGGGATCATCAAGAGCTCAGGTTCACAAACTTTCAGGCACCTGGGAGATTGTTCAGCAAGGATGTTATGCCTGCTGCAGAGATGCTTTAGGACGACTGCTCATTTTTTCCAGGTGCATAGTGCTGTAATAACAAAACAGGCTTTTTGAGAAGGCTTGGGTGTTTGACTAGGCATGTGGCAAACAAGCAGGGAAAAAGCCCTCTGCTACTGGGCACAGATCAGCCAGATTTGTAGTGAACAGTACAAATGAAAACGACACAAACTGGCTCCCAAAACACTTTCCAGTCAAGGGTGCATCTGTAGACTGCTTTTGCAAATGCAAAGAAGTGCCTTCTGCACTCTTCTGGGTCATTGTCTCAGAACCTGAGGCAGAGGGGTGCTCTGTGCTGAAATCTCCTGTGTGCCTTCCATCTATCCATGCCTTCTCCTGTCAAAAAGAGGTTCACAAAAGATACGCTGTATGCCACACTCTGCCTCAGTTCTTGCCTTGATTTTTTTTCTTTTTCAAGGTGTTTTTTTAGTCATATTGTGCATGCTTTCCTCCAGGAGAACAGTTGTAAATTGCAAGTTAAGTATACCTTGCTTCATTAATGTCTGTTTTCTTCTTTCTTTCCCCTTCCTCTCCCAGTGCGGGCTCTCACAATATTGTAATGGTCCCTGCGATTTGGACTTGATGTTTCAGCATCCTGCATTTCTGAAGTATCCAAAGCTTTGTGTTTAAAACAAACTTGAACTGCTTTTGCAAATATGAATCATTGCTTGAGTCTGAAACACAATGATTTTGCAGAGCTTACCCTGCAAATTACTTCTGCTTTAGGATGTGTGGCAGAAATGCTAGGTCACAGCTTGAAATAATGATTAAACACCTGGTAGGAAGGCAGGGCCAACCCAGGGGAACTCAGGTGCAAGCAGTGCACTTGATTGTCTGCATGGGGAGGAGTCAGGATCCACCCCTTTCTAGACCTCATATAAGGGTTGGCAGTGGAGATAAGGGTATGTTGTTGGAGCTCCCTGTGTACCTGAGGTCCTCTAAGGGTAAGTGGATTCTTTCCTTTGTTTTTGTGTCTACAGTTGCTGCATTTGAGTATATTCTTACTTGTTGTAGCCTGTAGGACTCTGCAACTATGCTGCTGTTGCTGTGCTTTTCATTTTGTTACAGGATTCGATCTATAACTGGAAGAATTGCAAATTTTCTTTGGATGTAGCAGTTCTCTGAGTACCAGGTCAATTGCTGCTGTCCTACTAGTATTAAAAAAAAGCATTGTCACTTCCTCTGAATCTGAGAAGGTGACTTGGTAGCATCCAGAAGGCTTAGGCTTAGCTGCCAGTGTTTCTGTTATCACCTGTTTTTTGGATCTGTTCTGCCAAGAGATGTCAATTCTCTGTGCCTTTGTTGGCTGGAATGTAGCAAATGCAAAAATAGGGAAAGAAAAGTTGATGATAAAGCTGGATGTACTTTAAAAACTCAGAAGAAAAAAAAAAGGTATTTTGTAACATAGCAAAACATTTCCATTAGTTTAAACTTAAGCTCTACTATTTATCAATGTTGAGGGTGGGTTCTGGGCTTTTGGTTCAGCTCACAGCTGTGGTTTTGTCCTGAAGCCAGATCTGAATACTCATCCTTGGGTAAATCATGCAGCACTTTGGGTTCTGTGTTTCAGTTTGTCTGCTGTTAACGTAAGTACTAACAACTGAGTGAATATAACCCTATTTATATTTTAGCCACGTAGTATGTAGCACAAAGTCATGTCCCCTGTAAAGGAGAGTTAGTTGAGGATATTTGAAGACATGTTTATCAGTGGAAGTATTTTGAAGGAAGTCAGAAATACAGGTAGAAAGGATCCTTATGTAAGTCTCTCTCCTTTAGTAGTTAAGTACGTGCATTAAAATTAATCCTGCTAATTAAAACACTCTGGTTTCACCTATGGTGAATAACACCACTGTTTTCTCCTATGGTGTGTCACAGTCTGCTAAGCCTGAAGCAACAATAAATAATCCCTACCACCGAGATGTCAGCACTTACTGAATGATTTGAAAATATCTTACTGGGGATGTTACTGAAGCATGAAGTATGAGTGCTTTTATGCTGAGTTGAAGGGGATGCTCAGTTTTTAAATGAGAAATTGGCAGAGAAATAGTAATATGCTAGGATATGAATTATCTGAATGAAATTCCTTGAGTTTTCATAGACATTCTGTAGAACTTCACATAAATGACTTGCAGGCTCATAGGTCAAGTGCCTGTGTGTTTTGTTTTTTGTCTCGAGGGCCATGATGTTGGCATTAGACATCTCCTGTAAGTGGGCTTTTTGTCTTTCTTCTAAATATCTGTAGCAGATCTAAAGAGATCTGAGGCAGAAATTCCTCCTCTTACTGCGCGTATGTACAGTACCAGTAAAATGAAGTTCTGTCCCAATGGGATCTTTTGGCATGCTATTATTCATAACAATTACAGAGCTTTGAGTATTAGTACATTTTTCTCCAGTTGTAGTACTATGTTCTCGTGTTCACAGACCTTCAGAGCCAAACTCTGAATAAGACGTTACTGATATTCCTAAAACACAAAACATCTCCAAGATGGAAGTAGTCCTTTTAAGTAATTTGTAGTGCTGGATGATGTCACAGAAAATCTTTAAAAGTGCTTCAGAAATCTGAAGGAGCCAAAATGCACCTTTTGCAACGACATAGATGTAAAGATTTCTTTCCAGGTTGCTTTGTGAAAAATCAAGGAGAACTCCCATACAATTCACCTTAGGATTACTTTTGTTGTAAATTTGAAACTTGGGCCATGTTCAGAGCTGTTGAGAGGGCTGGGCTGGGTTTGGGGGCTTTGCAGATTGCACGAAATCAATTGCGCAGGAGCCCCAAATACTAGAACCACAGTCAGTGACTCGTGTCACAGCTGTTCCCATTCTTAGCAAAAGAATGAGGGATTGAATCTTCCAGGTGCTTGCTGGCTGCTTTAATTATATCCTGTACTTTTATTCCAGCATCTCTGTTGCTTTTCAGAGACACAAAGTCTACAAAATATATAAAAAAAGTAACTTTCCGATGATGACATATTAACAAAAACCCTTATTTAAACCAAGATTATGTGCTGTCACCCTTGGTTTTGTCAGATTTGTATTAATAAGCCTTAATGATGAATCTTATTGAGTTCTCCACCCACATCCCTCAGGCCCAAGGGATGCATTTAAGGTCGGCCTGGATGTTCAGCCTGTGTTTGGATTATATTGAGGAGTGCAGCTGCCCCAGCTCTATTCCTGAATTGTTTGGCTTTCCTGGAGCTGGGTTATCTTATGGCATGGTGCTGACTGGGCTGGTGCTGGGACCTGTTGGCATCGCAGCCCTGCACACCCTAGAAAGCAGCGCCAGACCTGCAGCCTCTGAAGTTTATAGCAATCTAATCTCCACAGCCGTTTACCTGCTCCTTTCTGAAGAAGGGGAGATTCTGCAATGCAGCCTTGGTACTGTCCTAAATGGCTTCAAATGTGTGTGGTTTTATCTCAGTTACAGGTATTGCACTTGAATGCTCAGAGTGATGACACTAAACACAGCTCTGATGGCAGGGCGTTGGTTGAAGTTCATGTTTGTGCTGTATGTCTAGTTAAAACCTTGGCGAGAGAGGGGATCATCCTTAGGAAAAAGCTATTTTATTGTCTTCCTCTGCACTCTGGAGAGGTTATTCCTCACAACAGAGGCAGCTATTGAGCATTGCTGGGTGTCTGGGGGACCCAGGAGAAGTGAGGATAAGTCCATCTAATATTTCACCTCTGCTGAGACATGTCTTGTTTGTCCTGTCTGCTTGTGCTGTGAACTCTTCTGAATCAGAGCAGTCTCTCCCTGTGCTTTTGTTCCAGTTCTTAATTGCATTTTGGGGAAAACAGGGCTTTTAGTCACAAATGCAATGATGAATAGCTGTTTTGGCTTAAAACTGCATATGCTGATAATATGATAAATTAGCTGCGTATGCGTGGAAAGAGGCAAGGGTTCTTATGCCCAGTGTTCATTGTAGCTGCTATTATAAAATGTCATGGCTTTTTGCTTGTCTGTTTTTTAATTTTTTCAGGGAAGGCTCCTCTTCACTCATATTTTTAAATATTTTTGGAGTGGCCCAAGCATTGCTTGAATGAGATGTTTGGAATGATGTCTGCATGCCAGTAGTTCAGCTTACTCTGAATTTCAAAATAGAAGGCTTAAAAATAAATAAAATTGATTTTAAGGGTTCTGAACTTCTAAAATTGAGATGTCTACTGTCATTTCCAGCCAGACTTGTAACTTGCTTTCTGTCTTAATTTTGAATTTTCTAGATAATCTTTTTTTAGTAGAGGGTATGGGAAAAGAAAGACACCTAACCTAAACAAGTATTAGGTCTGTTAGAAATTCACAATTGTTTCATTTTTCCTTCCAGCAAAGTTGGTAAGAATAGTTTAAAACTTACTGCAAAATTCACTTAGTAAATCATTTTCTATAATTTTGATGTACACAGATACATACATATATCATATGATGTATGTGTATATTTAAAAGAAAAAAACACTTCTGAAAAAGCTGCTTCTGTTTCTATGTGCCCAGGCATGACATCTATGACTTTAGTTTTTAGATGCTGTATCTCTGAATTTCTTTGGTCTGTCCTCTTCAGCTCATGCTTGGGAGGAGGAGATTTGTTGATTAAGACGTAATCAGTGCAGAACTGTGGCAGTTCAAACAAAGTGGGAAGAGAGTGAGAGCAGATGTAACATAAGCATACAGGTGAATGGTGAGACTGAGGTAAGGTCCTGAAGGCAGCTGTTTTGTCTTTTGCTGTTGTGGTGCCAGGCCCCTTCCCTTGGGCCAGGTGACTTCATAATAGCTGATAGCACAGCTCAGTGTGCTGGCAGCACAGCTTGGACAAAAGCACGGCACCCTTGGCTTTCCCTTGCGCTTACTGTGCTGGTGCTGGTACTCTTCCTGGAGGCTTGGTGCAGTCAGGGCTGCAAGTCCCACGTGCTGGTGGTTGTGGCAGAGGTTGGTGCTTGCTGCATGAACCAAGCAGACTGCAAGCAGGTCCAGGAGCAAGACTGCAAGACCGTGTTGCATGGTCATAGGGTCAGACTTTTCCTTCTCTTTCCATCATGCTTAAATACACAGGAAACAGCTTGTTCGCTAGCACAGAAGTGCAGGAAAGTAGTTGTTCTGCTCTTGGGCAGATTCTGACTGCTGGTATTCAGGCACCAGGAAACTGAGTTCTCTCAGGGCAGGTTTTCAGTGACTGTGAAATTCCAGCATGCCAGTGGGATGTGTTTTACCAGCTGAGCGTTTTCCTTTAAAACCCTGCAGTGTCTCCAGGCCAATCAGTTTCATCCCTGGGATAAGCAATGTGTGTGCCTGTGGGTAATCAGTGTTCGTAACCCTTCCTGTGACAGCAGCTCACAGTCAGGAAGCTGGCCATATTCTGTGTCTGAATGTCCTCGGGTCCTTGCTGTCCCTGCTATAACAGATCCTCTCTGCACAATAAATAACCAGACAAAAAAAAAAATCAATTTCTGTAACATATGTTGGTCAATTGAGCCAATTTTGCTCTGAAAAGTAGAATCTCCAGAAGGGACGCATTGCTTTTGATATATTCTGTCAGCACGCAGTAAAATGCTTTGTCCAGATTTATTTAAATCTTTGGCTGGGATTGCCTAGAGCAGGGCTTTTTGACTTTGCTTTTATAGCAGGAAGTCTACTTTCTGGAGCCCTTTAAATGCTTTCAATTTTTCTGTTAAAAGCATTGATAAAAACAAGAAGTGCAGGAGTGGAAGGAACCTCCAGGTGCATGTTCTGCCCACTGACGCTGGAAAGAAAACTTCATGCATTTCATAAATGTATTTTATTGGCATATTAATTGAGGCTTTGACTCTAGTAGCCCAGTGAGAAGGCTAAAGTTTATTTCTTGCCCAAATGCATTTATAGTCAATTTATAACGATGTGTTCTTGGGCTAGCATTTCCCCTTAGCTGAAGTGGTTCATCTCTTCTTCTGTTATTTGCTGTTTCTAGGAGTTTTTTTTTTTTTTTGTTTTTTTTTTTTTTTTTTTTTTTTTCCAGTTGCAGTGCTTAGCAGTACTTCATAAATTGCCATCTTAAGACAGCGTTACTCTGCTGCTGCTGAAGGAGGAGATGCTGCTTTGCTGCTTCCTTTGCCGGCCCCAGCAGTGCTGCAGGAACAGCACGAACTGTGTCAGCTCCCCTCTGCTCAGCCGAAGTGAGGCGCTAGGAACATGCGGTGGGTGGGATGGCCCCTCTGGTGGCAAGACGCAGTGTTCTATCTGCAGCAGATAAGAACACTGAATCTGCGGCTCTAGCCTCAGTTCTGCTAGCTAACTAAGCAAAGGTTTGGCTTTGTTTCCACCCCTTTCATGTATTAGGTTTTCTGTGATGTATGCCTAGAGCTCTTTTCTTTGCTGACTGTGTTGAAATTCATCCATCCTGAACTTTGTGAGCAGAGCTGTATGCAGTATTTCTGAGGCAGTCTTACCCATGTTTTGTACAATGCCTCAAAACCTGCCTTCTCTCTCTCTCCCGGGAATACATCAACAAATTCCTCCTATTACCACACTTGCATCTGTAGCAGAAGGTGGACTTCTACCTTAGGCAGCACTGATGCATAAGGCATGACCTTTATTTCCCCTTACTGCTATGGAGATCCTCTGATTCAGACACCTTGTGGTTTTTACAGCATAATCTCAACCAACCTGGTTACTGCTGTGCAATTTGCTTTGTGTGATGTGAGGTGCTTCCAGAAAGCCTAGAGCTTAGGGAATTCAAATGAGGGGAGAGATGCATTGTTAGTTATGCAGTATACAATCCAGGCACTGCTGTCAGTGACTTGACAGAATAGGGATTCAATAAAGACAATTTGTCCTTCAGCACCACATCTAGCTGACTCAGGGCCTCACAAAAAAAAAAAAAAAAAAAAATCTGATGTCTAATAACTGTGGAACATGTGATTAATCCCTAATTTCAGTATGAAAATAGGAAAACAGTGGGGAGATTAAAAAAAAAAAAAAAATAGGAAGTAGAAAACTCCAAACATCCAGAATGTTTATACCTGACTTAATTTCAGCCAAGCTTATGTTTTACCTTGGTGAAAGAGAAAGCTTGGCCGCTCCATCCAGTGATATAAGGAGCTAGGAGATGTGTGAAATAAATTTGACCTGAAGACGCAAGAAAGGGGGTGTGGTCTACTGCCATAAATAAGTAATTAAAAGCTATTGTCTTGCATTCAACGGCAGTGGCAGCTGCTCAATTAGATGCTAAAAATATCCCAGCCCATCTCTGTGAAGTACATGTGTGCATGATGAAGAGATAACTGGTGCTTTAGCCTTTGTACAGGATGTAAGAAATGAAGGACTAATGTCTGAGCTAAGTATTGGCTGCTTCCTTGCTGCAGAGGCTCTGCATCCCCAGCCTCTGACTCATGCTGAGGCACTGCATTTTCAGCAGAGTGCAGTCCCTTCCGACTCGTTCTCTGTCAAAATTACACTCTGGCTTTGCAGAAGGCCTGCTTTCAGGGTAGCTTCTTTTTTTCTGATGTTATTTTCTTTTTATTTAATCAGGAAGGGGTGAAGCAGGGCTACAGATCAATGGCTGTATTGAAGCATAATTGCATGGTACTGCCCTCTGTACAATTTGAACAAAATCTAGAGCAGAGGACTTTGTCTTGGGCTGCTGCCATTAATAGGAAACCGCAGCCAAGATTTGCCTTTCAAAAAGGAGAGAAAACAAAAACAAGGTAGGAGGTGGGGTGTAATGGGGACCTCAGTTGAAGCCAATACACGGGCACCTTAATGGTTTAATGGTTCCCCCTGGCAGCGTGTTGCTGGTGTAATATTTTTCAGCACAATCCAGCAGGTGGTGTTAGATGGCTATTTAATGACTAGCATGGGACTGAAAGATCTTGGTGTTAGAGCTGAAAGGATGTGGGAGAAAATACACTTTTGCAGAGGTGTTCAGTGAATTTGAAAACTGGGGTAAGCTTCTGCTTTAAGAATCTGCATGTATGATTTCAGCTTACTACTAGTGGGGGGGAAGGGGAGGTTCATAGCTGTAGTACTCTACCAAAAGTGAAATGTGTGACATCTATCCTTATTCCACCAGGGACTTAAGTGTGTTTAACTCCAGAGCAGCAATGTGAAAAATAACCCTAGCTCTTACTGGATACACTGGATCTGAGTGGTTTCTAAGTTATTTTTCTTTTCCTTTTTTTTTTTTCCTTTGTTATTTTATTATGCTTATTCCTTGCTTGCCCATGAAGAGGGAGAGGTAGAAATTCTCTGCAGTGCACTGCTGTAGCAGAAGAAATTCCAAACACTCACTGTGCATACAAATGCAAGAAGTGTGGTGGAATGAATAAAATATAAGCTCAGCAGGTTATACACAGTCCAGTCAGGCTAAAAGATCATGTAATTACAGAATGGCTTGGATTGTAGAAATCTCAAAGATCAACCAGTTCCAACCACCTTCTGCAGGCAGGATTGCCAACCGCTAAATCAGGCACCAGATCATGCTGCTCACAGCCCAGTCCAACCTTGAGCTTTATCTTCTCTGGGGATGAGGCAGCCACAACTTCTCTGGTCTGCCTTTTTCAGCACCTCAGCATCCTCTGAGTGGAAAGAAAAAAAAAATTCTCCCTGACATCTAATATAAATTTCTCCTCTTTTAGTTTGAAACAGTTTCCCCCTGTCCTATCATTACTGGATAATCATAGAATGGCTTGGGTTGGAAGGCACCTCAAGCATCATCAAGTCCCAGCTACCCTCCACCACAGGCAGGGTTACCAGCTGCTAGATCAACTACTGGGTGAGACTGCCCAGGGCCCCATCCGACTTGGCCTTAAACACCTCCAGGGGTGGGGTATCCACAACCCCTGTGGCTAACTTGTTCCAGCACCTCACATCTCAGTAAAGAACTTCCCCTGACATTTAATCGAAATCTCCATTGTCCTATCACTATCTACCCATGTAAAAAGTTGATTTTCTCCACATTTATAACTCCTTTCAATATTAGAAGGCCTCAATGAGGTCTCCCCACAGCCTTCTTTTTCCAGGCTGAACAAGCCCAGTTTCTTCAGCTTATCTTCATAAAAGAAGATTCAGCCCTTGGATCATCTTTGTGGCCCTCCTCTGGATGCTCTCCAAGAGCTCTACATCTTTCCTGTATTTGGAGCCTCAGGCTTGAATGCAGCATTCCAGCTGGGCCTCACAAGGGCAGAAAAGAGGGGGACGATCACCTCCCTTGACGTGCTGGCTATCCCCCCCGAGAGAGCCCAGGATACCATTGGCCTTCCAGGCTGCAAGTGCACACTGCTGGCTCTTGTTAAGTTTTTCATCAACCAGAACCCCTAAGTCTTTCTCAGCAGGGTTACTCTCAAGTTCTTCTCCCAGTTTGTAAACATATCCGGGATTACCTTGACCCAGCTGCAAAATCTTGCACTTTGCTTTGTTGAAGCTCCTTAGGTTCACAAGGGCCCACCTTTTGAGTTTATCATGGTTCCTCTGGGTGGCATCCCTTCCTTCTACTAGATCAACTGCACCACTCAACTTGGTGTCATCAGCAAACTTGCTGAGGGTGGCCTTCTCCAAGCTGAACAAGCTCAGCTCCCTCAGTCTGTCTTCCTAGGAGAGGTGCTCCAGCCCTTTGATAATCTTAGTGGTCCTCCTCTGGACCTGTTCCGAAAGCTCCACAACTTTCTTCAGCTGGGAGCCCTAGACCTGGACACAGTACTCCAGATGGGGCCTCACAAGGGCAGAGTGGAGGGTGCCAATGACCTCCCTCTCCCTGCTGGCCATCTTCCTTTTGATGCAGCCCAGGATACTGTTGGCCTTCTGAACTAGCTGCAGAACACGCACTTGCAAGATGGAATCAGTCTGACTGCTTTTCATTAGCAGGTGTGATGAGTGTCTTGGTCATGCTTCTAGACAACAACTTTTTGTCTACCTTGCTGGCCTGAACCATAAGGGATGATAATATTGCTGGTGGAAATTGGCAAGTGTGGGGCAATTAGGGCCTCTGGCTATGAAAAAAATCAGATAAGCATACAGATATGTGCAAGCTATTATTTATTATTCTGTAGGAAAGATCGTGGGGTTGTTGTGGGCATTTCATAAACTGTCTAGTTAGTGCACAGGTGCTAGAAAGTAAATAAATGTAGGAAAAGATAGACCCTAAAACCCATTCTGTCACCATGTTGTCACCAACCTCCTTAATACTGTAATCAGTTCTAGTAACTCTTCCTCATAAAATTTATGGAAGAAATAGAGAAAATATTGAAATAGAGTCCTTGCCTTTGGCTGTTCTTGTTCTCTGTGAGAAGAAGGGTTAGGTTTGGCTTCACCCTGGCAGTGGTGACTGGAGTGGGATATGGGGGGAGAACTTTGATATGTTAAGACTGTTTACAATTTCTTATTACACATCTGGAGGCAATGCCTCCAAAAACTTTAAAAAAAAAAAAAAAAAAAAAACAAAAAAAAACAAAAAAAAACAAAAAAAACCAAAAACTGCTGTTTGGTGAATGGAAATATGTTTCCCTGTAGCACACAATGAAATTGTGGAGATCACTGTCACCTGTTTTTCCTAATTTGTTTTTTCTGTAACAATCAGAAAATAAATGAATCAAAAATAAGACAAATTCAGAACGGAAGACCTGTTGTTGGTTGCAAAACATGCTGTAAAAATGCAGGCTCTGCTAATGTGGCACGAGAAGGGGCAACCTCCACGTTCCCTTTTCAGTCCCTTGCCAATCTCAGCTTTCGTTGTCTGCTGCTGGTAGGTCAACTACAAGTCTGTCCAGTGGCTGTTAAGAACAGAATTAGAGGCCTGGGAAGGTCTTCCTTTCCTGTGAGATGATGACACGTTTTTGCAGTGGATTTAAGCACTTTATAGGTGCACTGCTGTAAATCTACTGTATACTGTCATTCATGGAGCTGCTTATAAAACTCAATATAAATATCCTTCTGCTTTAAGTAGTCTTCAATCTAGATGGCAAGGCTCAGTTCAAGTAGGTTGTCCAGATTCATCTTAACGTGAAAGAGTTAAAGAATGACATGGAAAATCATCAGCAGAGCAGCCCTGACATGACAGTCAAGGGAATAATTTATGCAATGATGGGATAATGTGTTCTACTTGGTAGACTTGTTCCTGAGCAGTCACTAAGAATAGCAAGCATTGAAGTATACAGATGTTCTGGGTAGGGGTGCAGAAATGAAGACAAATATAGAGCAACGTGTCTTATCTGCTAACAGATTGCAGGACTGGTGTTTCTTGGGAAGGTTTTTTGTTTCTGGACAGAGGGCTGGTCCTCTACTCCAGGAGAGGCACTGCACAAGTTCACATGTGTTACTGGCTGCTAGCAACAAAGGGGACTTTATTGATATCTGTTTAGGGACATTGAGCCAACTGTAAGTGTGACCAAACCTTGGATAGGAAGCTAGCTGGGAACTGGCTGTGCTGGGATGCTTGTGTCAGGAAGAGGGTGAACTTCCAGGTTTTATTTGAGCCCCTTATTCTTCCTTTGGTTGTTGAAGACAGAGGAAGTATCTGGACATGTAGTGTTCATTCTGACCTGCTTTAAAAAAAAAAAAAAAAAAAAAAAATGCTATGGAAAGTCCTATTTTTGGGTTTGGCTGGCCAGCTCCTAGAAGGAGTACTGTCTTGAGCAGTCAGAGGACATTTGAATTTCCTAAGAGGAGCCACACTCTTCTTCTTTCTTGCTTTGCTCAAGAGATTGGTTAGAAGAATATTTCCAGCTTGTACATCTCAAAGTCCTTGCTGGTTTCAAGTAG